TTTCCTAAATTCAAGAATTTCTACTGTTATTCAAGGTTTTATTTTCCCCCAAGTGGTTTGAGGGTTTTTGACCTCCATATGTATATTCTACGTTTAGAAAGTTTGGACAAGGTATTTACAATTATGAATTTCTCAATTATACAGAAATGAACCAGCCGATCGCCACGTTTATTCCTCTCCCTATCACCCTAGTGCCTATCACCCTACACAAATCTTCTCTTCTACTTTTCCCACTTAAGCGTTTAAATTTTCCAATATAATATTTATTTTATGACATTTGGTCAGCTTTCGGTAGCTTGACGTAGAAGCGGGAAAGATAGGCCTTAATATGAATTACAGCAAGACCAAAACTATAACAAATACAGATGAAGATATCACAATGAGAATCGGACAAGATGAAATAGAACAAGTTAAGGATTATATATATCTTGGTCAAACTATAAAACTTAACAAAGAGAACCAAACAGCAGAGATCAAGAGACGAGTTAGACTGGCATGGGCGGCATTTGGCAAACTAAGCTGCATTCTTAAAAACAAAAGATATCCACAGCATCTTAAGACCAAAGTATATAATCAATGCGTACTCCCTGTTCTTACGTATGGCTCCCAAACGTGGACATTTACAAAAGCAAACATGAACAAAATCATAAAAACCCAAAGAGCAATAGAAAGACAAATGTTGCACATAAGACTAATGGATAAGAAGAGAAACGAGTGGATAAGAGAGAAAACAAAAGTGAGGGATGTTAGACAAGAAGTTGCAAAATTGAAATGGAGATTTGCCGGACAAAATATAAGACAAAAAAGAAGACCGATGGAACAAAATTCTTATAAGTTGGAGACCGTGGGAACATAAACGAAGCAGAGGAAGGCCCCAAATGAGATGGGCAGATGATATCAAGAAGCACGTGGGCTCTAGATGGATGACTGTAGCGACAGACAAAGAAGAATGGAAAAGGATTGGGGAGGCCTATGTCCAAAGATGGACCGAAGAAGGCTAATTAGATAGATAGATAGTCAGCTTTAGAACGTTGCCAATTATTTCATAGAAGTTCTCTATGGTGTCTTCATTCTTGTCTGCAGTGAGTGTATGTGTTTGGATTACATTTATTTTACGTTTTAAATGAGAGCTGAGAGACAGCACCAATACTCGATTAGAGTAGGGAACAAAGTTACAAACAGCTTTTTGAAAATTAAGCAGTAGTAAGCAATAGAAAATTGGAAATAGAAATTAGAACTAGAGTATTGAGATGCTACTTATTCTATACCCTCTTATCTGGAGTTTGAGCCGAAACATTTTTATGGACGCAACTGAAAGAAGACTTGCCAGCTTTGAGATGTGGTGTTACCGAAAAATGGAGAGAGTATTATGGACACTACACTTAACAAACACAAAAAAGAATAGACATAATAAAAGAAAAGCAAAAATCAGAAGTTTTGAAGACACAATAAAATTCAATAGACTCAGTAACCAGGCTAAACAAAAAATCATTGATTTCAATTACTTTGGAAAATATTTTAGTAAATTGAGTTCTGAGTGGAAGAAGAACTAACTGACCCTATTGAAGCTGGCAATGAAATAAGACAGGCAGATTCCCTGAGTCCTCTATTGTTTAACCTTTGATTATGAAAGAAATATTAAAAAAAAAGAACTAAAAAAGGATACCAAATGGGGGAAAAACAACTTAAAATATTCTGCTATGAAGACGACGCAATACTACTCTCTCCAAGTGAAGACGATTTACAATGTCTTCTTCTTGTGGTGCCTATCCGTTACGGATGTTGGCTACTAGCATGGCAATTGTAACTTTATTGACCGCAGCTCGAAATAGTCCTAAAGTGGTCAAGGAAAACCACTTTAGTAAGTTCTGGAGCCAAAATGTTCTTCTTCTTCCTGGTCCCCTCTTTCCGTAGACCTTTCCCTGTAATATACGTTGCAACAGGTTATCTCTATGCTAGTTTTGCATTATATGTCCAAGATATTCTAGCTTGCGCTGTTTCATTGTGGATATAATTTCACATGTCGTATTCATCCGATGTAGAACCTTAATGTTTGTTATTCGATTCACCCAGGAGATCGTCAGTATCCGTCTATAACACCACATCTCAAACACCTCGAGTTTTCCCATGGATGCCTCAGTTGTTGTCCATGATTTAACCTTCTAGAGCAGCACTGTAAACACGTAGTGTCTCAATAAACGGATTTTTGTTTTTAAAGGTAGTTCGTGGCTATTAGATATCTTCCTCATTCTGACAAACGCTGACCTGGCTTTTTCAATTCTTTGTTTTATCTCAACTGAGTGGTCCCATTGGTCTCATTACACGTAGTGTCTCAATAAACGGATTTTTGTTTTTAAAGGTAGTTCATGGCTATTAAATATCTTCCTCATTCTGACAAACGCTGACCTGGCTTTTTCAATTCTTTGTTTTATCTCAACTGAGTGGTCCCATTGGTCGCTTATGGTGGTTTCTAAATAGTAGTAACCGGGCACTTGGAGTATTTGTTGCTGATCTACCAGTAATTGACTAGGTGGAATATGGTTCTTACTGATGACCATGTACTTTGTTTTCTTGATGTTAAAATCAAGCCCGTACTCCTGACTGATTCTTCACAACGGCGTTGTGAAGAGCTAGTGTCTGTAAACCTTCTAAACTCTGCAAAAAGGATGGTGTCGTCTGCATATCTGATGTTGTTCAGGGCTCACCATTTATGGGACTACCCTCTTCGATATGGTTCGATAAGGCCTGGCTCATGACGTGTTCCGAGTAGACGTTAAATAATAGGGGAGAGAGTATGTCGTACTCCTCTGTTTATTGCAACTTCCTCTGTTAGTCTTTCATCCAAATGGTTGCTGATTGGTGGTAGTATGTGTTCTTGATTATTCGAAGGTCTTTGTTATCCAGATCAGTTGCCTTTAGTATATCCATTAACTTATCGTACTTGATTCTGTCGAAATCATTCTGGTAGTCGATAAAGCATACATAAAGATCGCAGTTGACATCTCTGCACCTTTGAAATAATACCTGAACTGCGAACAGGGCTTCTTTAGCACCTAACGCATTCATGAATCCAAACTGCGTTCGTGAGATCTGTGACTCGCATTTCTGATAAATTCTTTTCTGTATTATCTTTAAGAAGGTCTTAAGAATGTGGCTCATTAGACTGATAATATGATGCTCTTCGCATTTTTCTGCATTAGGTTTTTTAGGTATAGCAATAAACGTAGATTTTAACTAGCTCTCTTACCAGCAGCAATGTATGCTGCACCAATTTTATATAAGAAGCCAGAAAATTTAGCATATTAATTTCCCCAAAAAAAGACAAAATGCATGGTTACAAGAGCAAATTTACTAATATATAAATTGGAGCTCGAAGGTCAGATAATGGAACAAGTGATGGAGCTTAAATATCTAGGCATCACATTATCTAGCTACGGAAAGCTCGAAACTGAAGTGGAAGATCAAGTGAATAGAGCAAACAGAGCCGCAGGTTGCCTAAATGAAACAATATGGAGAAATAAAAATATCAGGAAAGAAACGAAAGGCAGAATTTACAAAACAGTCATCAGGCTAATAATTACATATGCGGCAGAAACAAGACCTGACACAGACAGGACGAGTAAGTTAGGACATACCTAGAAGTACAGATACACGACATAGATGGTAAGCAAGGTGGCGAACATCAATAACTGGGTAAGAAATAGAAGAGTAGAATGGAACGATCATATAAGCCGAATGACAACAAATAGAGTAGTAAAGACGGCAAGAGACGGTTCACCAATAAAAAGACGATCAGTAGAAAGACCACGAAAACAATGAAACGACCACTTACTGGAGGCATATTTAATAACAGACAGGGTCATGTCTATATAAAAAGAAGAAGAAGAAGAAGAAATTCTTTAATAAAGCTCATGTTGCTTAAGACTGGCTGAATGATAATTATCCAAGTCAAAGGGAAAAAAATGTCATATTCTCAGATAATAGTGTTCTGAAGCTATTTTCTTGTGGCATTGTAAATTAATTATTATTAATAATAATTAACTCAGACAATAGGGCGTGAGATATATTCTCAGACTCACGACAGTGGTCCAAAAATTAACAAAACAAATGTACTGGCTGATTATTCAGTAAAATAAAAGCCAAATAAGAAGAAGAATAAATTTATTTTATGTTTACGTTTTGTAAAACAGAAACAATAATTTTTTAGTAATTTTTTAATAAGACAGATTTATAATGTCAAATAAAGATTTTATTTTACAGGATGTTACTTATTTTTAACAGGATATTTAATGAATGGCATTAAACAAGTGTGGTCAAAAATACATAAAGTGAAGAGATTTGAAGAGTTAAAAGACTTTTAATTATATGCATGAAAGATATACAATGGAACCTAATAATGTTATTCTATAAACATTATGAAGTCATATGCAAGAGGAGGTTATGCTCAGGTTAAACGAGAAAGAAGCAAATGGCTGGAGGAAAAAGAAAGTACAAATCCACAAATAAGGTTTTATAAAACTGATTCTATGAAAAAAATACCTTTTGCAAATTTCTTGACAGAAATTAAAAGGAAAACTTGTGGTTTAAATGATTAACCGGTTTTATAGAAAAAATCAAATAAATATCTGTCATTTCAGTTTTACTACACTTTAGTACTATTTTACTACAATTTATCAAATTTGATAAATATAGATAATAACGTAACCTTGAGGTAAAAAGATAAAACATAATATAATATGAATTTGTTATACGGAAATAGTTAGATCATTATTCATTAATGATAAAACATTGTAAAAATAATGAGTTATCTACCAAGATGTTTTGGTTTTACGTTTGTTGTGAATATTGTGGAAATATCTTAGACGATAATGCCGCCCTTAGTACAACCCACGGAACCGACAAGTAGATATCAAATTTCTGAAAAAGGTACGAATTCTAACGAATATGTATATCTACTTCATCGTTAAACTTGCATCTCCACAAAAATAGAACAGTAAAAAGCTTATTCAGAGGTATTGGTGTGTCACAGCCCCTCCTTTTATGGGGGCCGTGTGCAAATCAGTTTATAGACTAAGTCTCTCCAACAGCCGGCAGCAGACACTCCGAATAGTGGTTGTAGTGAGGACACTAAGCCCTTATCCACCACACTTACTCGATTCCGAAAAGGTACGCCAATTACCAACCTAATTTTCTTTTTTAATAACGCGAGTGCTTTTACCAACGTTACGAAAATTACAGTGCTGATTGTGCTTTTAGTGTTTACCTGCATGAGCTGTTGCCATATTTGGTATCTGATAATATGAGAGTAGCGCTGGCGCCGCGCCAGGAAAATTATTTTTAACATCACCATCTGTGTTTGTGTAATATTATGCCTTTGGCTGGTGGCCAAGTGACCTACTAGAAGCTGCTTAGTAACCCAAGACTGTGCATAAGTTGTGATTAAAAAATCCGCTTTTTTTAGTGTGCATTTGTGACCATAGTTTTTTCGCTAGGAAGGCAAATGTTTTTCATTCAATACTAAAAATTTTTTCTTTCTAAACTCTTGCATTTTTTATTATTTTGTTTACATTAAAAACTATTTTTAAATACAATAGTTAAATCACAAAATTACTTTTATTACTGAAATATAAATTAATGAAAAAATATTAAGTTTCTACAAACATTGTTTATATTTTGATTATTTATTACATTTTTAAAGCTTTTCAAAACGTTTAGTCACAACAAATACTAAAACAAAAAAAACTGCTTTTTCAACTAACAACTTTTCACAGTTAACTCCATTAAATAATTTATCATAACCGACTTTTAAATTGTAAAGACTTTTTGTAATTAATAACTGCATATCCATATGAGTATAATAAATAACAAATCCGCATAATTCAAATTCATTATTTTTCGTAAATTTAAATTATTTAGATATCTTTTTTTTTTAATATTGTTTGTTTGCTTTAATGTAATGTTTGCTTTAATTTATTCGGGATAAAGTTACGATACTTTTATATTTTTTTTCTGATTTTAAAATAAATTCAACCTTTAATTTAAAAATAAAATACAGATTTAGTTAAAAGGTTTTTTTAACATTTTTTCTTCGTTCAAGAAACATTGACCACAAAAAGTCAGCACCTTGACTTTTTAGTTTGAGTTTTTCAATTCATGCATATCGTGAATTTTATTTTTCTTACTCCTTCTTCTTCTTCTTCTTCTTCTTCTTCTTCTTCTTCTTCTTCTTCTTCAGGCCTTCTTCTTTGGACATAGGCCTCCACAAAATCAATCCAGTGTCTTCTATTTTGTGCCACTTGCTTCCAGTTGTGTCCTCCAATCTTTTAATATCATCCGCCCATCTCATTTATGGTCTTCCTCTGCTTTTCTTTCCTAACCATGGTCTCCATTGTTGTATTTCGTGGTTCCATCTTTTATCGTTCAGTCAAGCATTGTGTACTGCGAAGCTCTATTTTAATTTTGCAGCATGTTCTCTTGCGGCGTTTACTTTGGTTTGCTTTTAATCCATTTGTTTGTTTTTTTGTCTATAAGTCTCAACCTAAACATTGATCTTTCAATCTCTCTTTGTTCCTGTACTATTTTACCCATATTAAACTTGGTGAGTGTCTACCTCTGTGAACCATACGTGAGTATAGGGAGAATGCACTGATCGTAAATTCTGGTTTTCAAATATTTTCTATTTTAGTGCTTTTCAATATCCACCTTAGTTTTTCAAATCCTGCCCACGCCATCATTATTCTTCTGGTAATTGTGACAGTTTGATTATCTTTGTTCACTTTCATTATCTGTCCCATGTAGATGTATAATGTTTCTAAATTTATGTCATTCAACGTTATTTCTCTAATGTTCTGTGTATTTGTTATTATCTTTGTTTTTTCCAAGTTTACCATAAGACCTACTTTTCCGAAGCTTGAAATAGTTGCGTCACCATAGTCTGTATTTCTTCAAAACTTGTAGCGAATATTACAATGTCATCAGCGTATCTCAAATGACTCAGTTTTCTTCCATTAACATTTATTCCTTTATCTGCCCAGTTAGTGTCTTTGAACACGTCTTCCAGTCCAAGTGTGAATAGCTTTGGTGAGATAGCATTTCCCTGGCGAACTCCTCTGTTGATTAGTGTAGTCTTGGTTTATGCATCTATTTGTATTTTTATTGTACCTTTCTTGTAAATATTATGTATGAGCATTCTGTATTGGGAGTCTATCCTGCAGTTGTTTATAGCTCTCTTTATTGCTCAAAGATCTATGTAATCGAATGCCTTTCCATAATCAACGAAGCCAATGTATAAGTTCAAGTGATATTCATTGGCTTTCTTTATTAGCCTTCTGACTGTAAGAAGATGGTTCGCTGTACTGTAACCCTTTCGGAATCTTGCCTGCTCTACCAGTTGATACCTATCGAGCTTCGATGTTGACCTGTTAGTTATAAATAACCAACTAACAGGTTAATCTTCTTACTCCTTACACTTAATTATTTCACCATTCGCTTCAAGCTTATGTTAAACATAATATTTCAGACTGAGTTTTTTGGCTTAGATTATCTCGTATGCTTTTTCCTTTTATTTTTTCATTTATGATAACACAAAATGTTTTTCCTCTGAATTTATGTAATTGTTCTGTATCGATAGTGTTTTAATATTTTACACAATTCATGATTTTCAATTTTCTTTTACATATTACTTCAGTGTTTATCCTTTTAACACTACTCTGGTATAATTGTCCAGTTGTCTATACAAAAAATATTTTTTTTAATATTTCGGTGTATCTATGAGGCAATACATATAACTGATGACCGCGACCAGTGGAGAAATATTATCAATCAAACTGTCCGAGCTGCTGAAGCCCAATTATGAACCACAACACATCTACTAAGATGTTAATGACTGTGATGATGATGATGTATCTATAGATTTACCTGACTAACTGCAAAAGGTACTAAGCTTTTAGGTCGTTATCTCTTGCCGATTATTCATGTTTAGTGAATTCGATGTTCTACGTTTCCTAATCTAATTTTAACTTATGGCAGTGTTATAGAATTTGACTGTCAGATTTATTGGAATCTGCATGACCTCCATAGCATTGCGCTACTGCAATCACCTAAGTCTATTTGCCCATTGCTGTAATACTGATTCTAGATGTTTAAAATTATTATTCTTTACAACCACCGTCTTCTTCTTTTTTCTTTATATAAGCAACTTTGCTTGTTCTAAGACAGGCCATTGACTCTGTGAAAGATTGGTAGTCCATTTCTTGCGGTGGAAGAAGTGTTAACCGAGTCAACACTTCTTCCACCTGGCTATTTTAACAACTTTTCTGTCCGCCATTTTGTTATTGATGTTCTTTTGATGATTCTATTTTTTACTCAGCGTCTACTCGTTTATACCGGGTTTATACCATTTTCTTCTGATCTCATCATTCCTCATCCAGTGTCTCAGCGTATTTCCTGTAATTCTTCTGTGCATTCTATTTTTGCTGTTTTCAGCACTTTTTTATTTTTGCTGTATCGAGTCTTCTTTTCGATGGGCACGTCATTATTGGTCTTATACTAGCTCTACATATTCTTTATTCCATCTCAATATTAGTATATTAAATACGCCATGTAGTGTTATTAAGTCATCTTGCTAATCTATTCTTATCTATTTGCTCTTTGTACTTGACCTGTTATTTCTTTTCCAAAGTCTTTATAGCTGGACAATGTAATCTCTAGGTACTTTATTTTCATTACTCGTACAATGTTACTCCATCGATTTCTAACTAATTCACATATTATTGGTTTTTCACTGATTACTATTATTTGAGGTTTTCTGAGTTGAAGTCAATATGTTAAACTGAAGTGAACTAGTCTTTGAAGGCTATCTTTATTTTGAGCTACCAATATTGTATCGTCTGCATAATAGAGAATATCAATTTCTTCGTGACGCTTTGTCTACGTATTTAAGTATTCACAATCATGTGATTACCAAAGATATCATATTATTTGTAAAAGTAACTAAGAACTCAGTACCTGCCAAGAACCAGAGGTACCCTATCATACGTTTTCTTAAGTTCAATAGATGCAAATGATCGTTTGTTTCTTTATTTCCATATTTTTCCAATAATAGCTGCGTTGATATGCCTTATATAAATCCAAATTTATTTTCGGTTTTTTTGGGTTCCTCACGTTACGTATATCCATTATTCTCTCTCATATTTTCATCGCGTGACTAAATAGTGTTATGGCCGTCTAATTAGTGCTTTGTTAAACAGCTACTATATTTTTGCGCCAAGGGGCTAACAGAGTGTTTCCTCATTCTGGCATTCTTTGTCCTTAATCCTATTAAATAAACCTAAAGCCAACTTTTTTCTGTCTTTGGTATTGTTGTTAATACTTTTTCAGTATAATTTGTTTCGACCAGTTTAGCTTTCTTTATTGTTTGTAGTCACTTTCTAAGAAACCTGTTTGTTATTTTGTGGCCATTGCTGTTACCTTATTATCAATATATAGTTTTTTCTACTCTTCAGCTTTTGTTTTTCCTACATCTACTTTCTTTTGGTACCTTATATTTTGTAGATCTATGTCACACCTCTATGTTAGTTTTATCTTATCTTTTATTTTTGCTATACTTCGTATGATTACGACTAAGTTTTTTACTTTAATTTTTTTTCTGATGTTATCATATTCTAGGCATCAATAAATAGTCGTTTTGTGTGCTATTTTATGTATTATAGATAAAAAATGTTATGTTTAATTAAATATTTATTATTTTTTTCGCTGTCCTATATTCTGTTTTGTGTAAATTATCTTTGTATTTAGTTCCCAATATTCTGGTCATATAACCTTTGATCTGTTTGGTCACAGATTTGGTTAAGTTTGGTTCAATTTGAGAGTAGCACCATCATTTACTACCCTTTCACTTGACCCTAGAGGGATATTGTGGCTTATTCCTGGTAAAAAAGTTCGTTCACCAGGAATAAACAGCCTTTTTAACAAAGTCTGTTATACTCTTTGAGATAAGTGACTTTTTAAGAGACCTACGATAATTCACAGATTACTCCCATTTATATCTAGTAGATATTTGGATCTCTTCTCTTTTGGCTGTGCTTCTTGCTATGTCAACGTAATGTTATGGGCCTAGGAATGTCTCTTGTACTCCTTTATTGACAAGTCGGTCCACTTTTTCGTTCCCTTCAGTACCAGTATGTCCAAGCACCTAGAACAAACTTACTTGGATACTTTTTTCGATCCGAATCAGATTTTAAAGACAGTTCTAATCCAACTGGTCAAAGTCAATTAGAGTGTATTTCAATATCTTTAATGCCAAATGGCTATTTTTCCAAATTGTATAGATCTTTTGCTGAGGTTCCTTTTTATTAGTTTCGGCAGGTACATTTTTGTAGCATACATTTTTGTTTTGAAAATAGTCAAGTGATTATCTAGGTTTCCTTTAGGTATAGCCTTGGTTTTCCTTTGTGTACCTCATCGTTGATTTAGAGCCATCATTATATCAACATTAATTTTCCACTAAGAAGATTCGTTTTATATGACTCCCATTCGCCCCTTCATAAAAAAAAAGATACTAAACGGCTTTTCGAAATTATATTTGGGTTGAGTTGCATCTGGTACTATTTAAAATCTGGATAATTTTTCTTTGGTTACAGTTTAAAAACAGTTGATATTTTGCAATAGACAATTTGTTCTATAATGGGTATAAACGCTTAATTATTCTTAGTAGTTTTCAAAATAAGGTTCTCATCCAACCAATCGAGCTAAAAATCGATTTTTATTTAGCTAGTACTCGACTAATTAACTTTTAATGTTTTCTTAATGATAACAACTTTCAATATTTTAATTAAATATTTACTTTAAAACGTATACAATTTATTATAAATCAGATAGTTTAATACAGTTTTCGCACATCTACTTTAAGAGTCATGTTTATTTAGAACGAAGAAGATACTGTTATCATACGTGCTAACACTCCTAGAAAATTTTAAACGTTTTTTGGAGAAAAACGTATATATCTAATACCTTGCAAGTAGTTTTCTTCATTTTTATGTTTTATTGTTTCAGAACGACCATCAACTAAATCAAAATGCCTTTCAAACCAGCAGACAACCCAAAATGCCCAAAATGCGGCAAATCCGTATACGCCGCTGAAGAAAAAGTAGCTGGAGGTTACAAATACCACAAATCCTGCTTCAAATGCGGTAAATATAAAGATTTAATTACGTATTAATGGTTAAAACTATATTATTTTCTCAAACATTTATAACGTCGAAAAATTTTTTCTTGCTTTTTTTCGAAGCCTATTTCTTTTTTTATTTCTCAGACTATATTGTATTCTGCATCAACACTACTTATTATCATGTTCTCTATTAACTTGACATTAAAATGTTTAAAAGTCATTTTAAAGTTTTTCAAAACTACATCTGATATAAACGATGTCTTCAATAGATTACTTTTACTGTGAATTGGTACTTAGGATCAAAGAAAGAAGACAAGAACTTGAAAGATTTTACAGTTTTGAAACACAGAAAGAAGACAAGAACTGAAAGTTAAATAAAGTAAAATATCAACATAACGAAAAATATTTCAAAATAAAAATACATCCTTACATAGTCGTTTTGTGCAGTAAAAATATTAATCTATTGTTAAAGTACAAACTACTAGGTTTTTACAATCAGAAAAAAAGGATACGAATACACACTTCAGAAGAGTTTAAAATTAAAAGAGCTGTACAACAGGGATCACTGTTCAACGCATTATCTGAAGAAATTGTTTTGATAGGGGATAACTTCCATGACCTTCAGAGGCTAATAATCAAGATAGTTTAGTCTGGAGAGGACTATTGACTACCAACAAACATGAGGAAAGCCAAATTTTTATGGTTATAAACCCGAAATAATAATGAAAACCTTATAATTAATGGTACCTATAAGTATCTTGGCACAATAATTAATCACACACACGATTCCTCCAAATAATCAAAGTTCGATTAAAAAAAGCACGAACAAACCTGAATAAAATTGCGTTAATAATAATATTTATATTATAAACCTATGACCGTTATTAATTATATTGTTAATATGCTTATTTGCATAGGTATGTGCAATAAAATGCTCGACTCCACCAACGTAACTGAACACGAAGCTGAATTGTACTGCAAAAATTGCCATGGACGTAAATACGGACCCAAAGGCTACGGATTCGGTGGTGGAGCTGGGTGCTTAAGTATGGACGATGGAGCCCAATTCAAGGGGTAAGTACCGCTAAGTTCTGCCCTTTATCTTTTCATATACACCAACACAAATACCATTCGCCCAAGAAGTATACACGTCAAAGAAGTTTTAGTCACGAATACTGCGAATTGAAGATCAATCTTAAACTGATTTAAATAATAAAAATTTCTTTGATGGACGATACTTCTAGAACAACTATACCTGGAGGCAAAAATCAAAAACAGTTCTCATTTTTTCTAATAGTTGCTTACAAATTTAAGGCACATTGCCGTAGATGAAATTGCATAGTAGTTAGTTTAAAAATATGTATCTAACTGCTTCCCACCAGCTTTAGACCTCGAAATACTATATAAACATACATTAATTATGTTCTTTATAGTTATTTGAGTTCTCTAAGACCGGTGGATACTGTAGTTTAAAAAATAATAGGTGCTGGGGAAAGAAACTATTTCGTTTATATATTTTCTTCTGGTGGACTGAGGGCTTTCCTTATCTCTCGTATTCCTTAGTGTTTAAATGTGCTTGTGCTACAAGAATTATTAGTCATATATATCAGAAATATTAGACGAACTCTATCGTAGCCCTGAGAAATAGTTAAACTTATACTTTTTTAAATTATTAAAATTTTATTTAGCTGTATCTCAACAACACTTTTAAACTTAAATACATCACTTTTATTAAAAAATTGTAACTAAAATTATATTATTCATCTAAAAGTTATTAAGTTATTAAGTAAATTGCATCTTTATACCTAACTGCATCCAAAAAAAGTCCAAGAAATTAAAATAGAATAGTAATGAAATATACTCTGAAAATAAGCCAAAATAAACTTTCAAAACATCAAAATACAACAATAAATTGCAAGACTTTCACATTTTAACTAAATCTAGTTCTTTTTTGGACAAAAGATTTCAGAAATATAATCTATTTTCTATGTTACATTGTTTTCGAGGTTTGTTGGCAGTGATTTCGAAATATTTCATTCTGACGTTGATAATCATTACCGCTATGGCAAACGAAATGTCAGAAAAAAATAATTTCAAACCACAGCATATAAACACCGAAATCAATGTAATATTATAAAACCCTAGCCATGAAAGCCTGCACTGTTTGACTATATGCTTCCATCGAGTTTATAAATAATAATACAAATTTTTTTGTGGCATGATAGAATCCGTTTAAAGCACTATTTACTTTTCTGATAATATACTGGAAAAAATATTAAGTAAAGTCAAAAAATAACTGCAATTTAAGAATTTTATGTAAAATTTATTTGCTTACTTTTGGAAAATTGACACAAATTTTCATTGACACGATTTTTGAGTATGTACGGAACATTAGTGATTTAAGATTGTTATCAAAATATTGCTTTTAATAATTTTAGAAGCTTACTTGCAAACATAGCTAGAAACGCACATAGGCAGAAATAAATAAAGTTAACAACCTTGTTTTAGTAGATAAGAAGCTCAAACTAAAGAAAATAAAAGCAACCGCCAAAACAACTAGAATTAATCTAAGAAGACTGAAAGAAGTAGATCTCTGCCAATAGATCAAAGAACAAATACACAAGAAAGTCCAATAAGTAGAAAGACAATAACAACTTAACCTTACAGAAAAATGAAGAGAGTTAGAGAAGATCCTAAGGAACATCATACAATAACGCCTGAAGGACGATACATCCCTTGAAAGCAAAGAATAAATCACAAGGAATAAAGTCATTGATATCAGAAAGGAAGAAAGGAAAATATAAAAACTAACAATAATACAAAAACGTAAAGAAAACAATTAAACAAAAAAAAATCAAGGAAGCGAAGGAATTGTAGCTATCACAAAAATATGCAAAAATAGAATGATTAGCAGAACAACACGACAGATTTAACATATATAGGAAAATTAAAGCAAAAGCTGACATATACAAAAATGAAGTATTGGAAACATATTGTACAAAAGCAACAAAATAATAATTGATAGTGCAGAGACAATAAATAGATGGGAAGAACATATAAAGGAGCTATTTGAAGATGACGAAAGAATGGGGACAATAGAATCAAAAGGTAGAAATGGAGCTACAATTACCAAAGAGGAGGTTAAAAAAGGACTAAAACTGATAAAAAATGATTAAAACCATGAGACCGGATAAAATAGCTACAGAAATTTTAAGACTATTAACGGGAGAACCACATTGATATACTATCAGACGCATAAATGAAATTTACTATACAGCAAATATTGCGGAAGAATGACTATCATCTGAGTTCATTCCAATAATAAAAAATGCCAATGCAATAAAATAGCCAAAAGCTCTTTTACTAAGACAAAAGCAGTTTTATGCAATGGATAACTGGGAATATAAATTAGAACTAGAATATTGAGTAGCAACGTATTCTCTGCCCTTTTATATGGAGTCTAGAGTGAAGCCTGGCTAATTACGGACACAATTAAAAATATACTTGCCAGTTTTGAGAAGTGGTGTCATCAAAGAATGTGGAAAATATTATGGACAAATACGTAACAAACACAGACACATCAAGAAAGATTAAAAAGAAAAGGGTATACTTAACACTAAGACTAGAAGGAAAGAAAACTAAGCTATTTTGGTCGCATACTTCTTCTTCTTCTTAAGGTGCCGTGCATTTCTGCGAAGGCGTCCACCGTACATTGTCTTGTCAGGTGAGATGTTAAATATGCAGGATTAAATAATTCTGTTTAACATACAGAATCACATACTAAGATACGAAAAATATAAATTGATGCGATTGCTTGTACAAGCCTAAGTGTTCCACTTATACCCACATTTTTCTTTTTAATAGACAAGTAAACAAATTATTTAATTTGAAAAAAAAACCATTATATAAGGTACTTTTTACCATAATATCAACATCCTCATTAACTGAAGGTGCAAAAAGCAAAGAGGTCGTAAATTATGAGAGAATAAATTGCAATATCTAAAAGAAGCATTTACCTATATACACCGATGTAACTGCAAGTATAAATAAGTTTGAAGTTGAGAAAAAAAAATCTTCAATTAATACTATCTCAAAAAGAAACGATCAGGAATAAAAATAAGATAGGGATAACCAAGCATTGGAAATTATGTAACAAGGTCTAAAAATTCATCTGCAGATTTTTATTCATCGAAACTTATCATTACTAGTATGTGATTCAGAAATCACGATACCTCCCAAGTTCAGTAATGTTCCCGATTAATATTTTTTCTATATTTTTGACTTTACTTTATAAAAACAATATTACTATAAGATCCTCTGATTTTAGAAAACTGAATTAAATAGTTATCTTGTATGCTTATGTTAAGTTATGTTATTTGTTGCTATTTGGTTGACGCGGAAAATTCAGAGAATATTATAGTTTGCTTATGATGAAAGCCTGTGCTAATACAGCCCCAAGAAGACTTGGACTTGATTTTTATTTGTCTCTTTTTTGCCTCCCTAGACAACAATAATTTTAAGAAGGAATCAATGCGAAGATGGCGGCCAAAACCACACCAACTGTCAGCGGTCGTCAATTCTACCCTTTTCCATCCCCCACTATATACACTAATGTAATATTTTTAGATCTTAAATTACAGACTTAGTTTTAATTTATAAATTTTCGTATGACACGTTATAAATAATAATTCGGTTATTTTGTAATAATTGAATTAAAATAAATCTTATTTAAGAACAGTTTTATGTTTCAAATAACAATATTCAAAGAACAGATTGCTCTAAGAACTCAATCTATGTTTATCTTTGCGATCCAAGTAAGACACTAACACTACACATTCTTCTTTAATAAAACAAACATAAGTTTAGAACAATTCTAGACAAAAAAATTGTATATAGACAAAAATTATGGTAATAAATTGATTTACATTACCTATATCTGTAGAAATCCCATTTCCATAATATGTGGGTACTGAGGATTCATGATTTTTCTTCAGATATTCCGTTGAATTCGACTACTTCATTGCATGTTGGTAGTTACCGAATTTTCCTTAAGTTTGTCCTTATTTTTAGCATTTTCCTTATGTTGTGAAGTATAAAGAGTGCTGTTTTTAAAGTATTGTTAATTTTCATTGAATTTCTTTCTTTTCAAACTACCAATCCCCATATAATTGGGAAGTTTATGATAAAATGTTATAAATGCAACTCGACTTATACCTAACCAACGATTTAATGTATTAAATCTTACACTTTCTATATTTTCTTTACTTTATGATTAGCTGATAAAAAATTGAAAACTGAGAACAATTTAAAACACTGTTTTAGGAGATATTGTTTGCAAAACTTTTATAAAATCACTTCTTGCAATATTCTGTTATGGAATATTGAAATTAAGAAACTTTTTCGTTAAATTCCATCTTGAAAATTTGACAATAGATCTCTTGGCTTTTAAAACGGCATTCAACAATAATTTGAGTTATATGCAAATTCGAATTGTTAGTCTCATTGATTATGAAAATTCTATTAATTTGCAATTACACTTAGGTTTCAGGAAATTTATCTTTGCTGTGGATTTAATATGTCCCTAATTTAATAAGTAAAAGAAGACTAAAATTTTACGACTATCCTTTTCATTGGATTTCAAAATTACTTTTTTCAGTGCAAGGTTATTTTTAGGCTATATTATTAAATTTAAATCCATTTAAATGCCTCTTAAAACCATGAATAAGGTAGTCAAAATAAAAAATCATAAAAGTGAAAAATGTGTATAGTTAAATAATTCGATTATATTGGTTTCTTTTGTGAAATTTACAGAAATATTTACAAAATTTATGTCATTACAAAAAAAAAGGATAACTCGTAAAAATAGAAATTATTGTGTTGTGATGTGTTTTCGTTAAGATAAATGTAGTTACCCAAACAACCAAGTAGTATTTGTTGTTCATGAGTATTTTCGTTTTTTGTTTATTGTCACAAACCTACCCTTTTCCTATTCCAAAAACTGTGTTGTGGTAGCGTTTATTGTCAATATTGTGAAGACGTTGGAATGTCAAAAACCAAAATTATCAAAAACCAGA